AAAATGCCCAGCTCTGTGAATACATTTTTTATTGAAACATACACCATATATTTGTTCACCCCTTGCACACGTTACATCATGTTTCTTTTCCTTTTTTTTTTTTGGTGTTGTTGGGTTTGAACCTAGCCCCTTGCACATCACTAAGCAAGCACTCTGCCAGTAACCTACACCCTTACTCCCAGTATTTTTTTTTTTTTTTCTTTCTCTTTTTGAGACAGGGTTTCCCTATGTACTTCAGGCTGATCTTGCACTCACTTTGTAGCCCAGGTGGGCCTTGAACTCACAGCAATCCTCCTGCCTCGGCCTCCTGATTGCTGGGATTATAGGCGTGCACCACCACACATGGCACTGTATTTTAAACATGCTGTGTAGCCTGTGATTACTTTTCTCAGTAATTCATAAAATAATTTTTCTTCCAAGTATTCATTGCTTCCCACAAATTAACATACTAGGCTTTGCTCAATTTGTTAATGATAATGTCCCACCTTTTCGCATTCTGTGACAGGGATTTACAATGATGCTCCATAATTGTAAGTTTCTTTAACATGTCCCTTCTAATGTTTGTGTCAGCTTAACCATAGTCACAAGTCAAGAGTAAAAATAAAAGCTCCACCTAAATTTTTTTGTGTCTGTGTGTGATAGGGTCTTGCTACGAGGTCCAGCTATGTGGTCCAGGCTGGACTTCGGTTTACAGTACAGCCTAGTTCCACCTCAGGAGTACAATCTTCCTGCCTAAATCTCTGGTGCAGGGATGACAGGTGTGCACCAACACCCCAGGCTCCAACTAAATCCTGAAATTATTTTTGTTACTGATTATTGAATTGAGGGCCTTCAGCTGTGCTACATTCCCAGCCTTTTTCATTTTGAGACAGGGTCTTTTTTTTTTGGATAGTTTCACTATGCAGTTCAGGCTGGCCTTGAACCCACAGTGATCTCCTACCTCAGCCTCCCAAGTGCTGGGATTACAGGCATGGGCTACCATGCCCAGCTAGGTTCTTCTTGTTTTGAACAAAGAATTGGATGAAACAAGCACAAAAATAGCAAAATTTTACATTTATTGAAAGTAAGAAAAGAAACAGGCTCTGCAGAGTGTGTTTGGGCCAAATAAAGGTAGGAAAAGTATATTCTACATTGTAAGAGAGAACACAGTAGTCCAGAGCTCCTTGACAGCTTTTTATATCTGCCACTCCTCAGGCTGTCAGTTTGAGGCCATCCTATCCAAAACTGGCTGAGTGCCCACTAGAGGAATGGCACTCTCTGATGGGGTCCATGTGTAGGGCTTTAAGACGTGTTCTACACTTTAAGAAGTGTTCTGCAAAATGCATGAGAATGATTTTTTAATTGGCAGGTTGTATTATTTTTTTCATCGCTGAAGCAAAATACCCAATACCTACAAGTTATTCATTTCACAGCCTGTAGTGGTTCTAGTCTATAATCGGCTGGCTTCAAGGCAGGATGACACATGGCAGAGGGGCAGCAGTTCATGTGGGCAGAAAACAGCAAAAGCAAGAGGGAGAGGCAAGCCTCTTTCTGTCCCTTGTATTGTTTGCTGGCTACCCACCGTAGGGCAGGTGTAGCACTCACACCCTTAATCTCAGCATTAGACCATAAATCGATCACAAACTCTAGATTCAGCTACCCTCCAAAAAAGCCCCATCTGAAAGTGCATGAGGCTTCAGGGAGACATCTAGACACAACTCATAACACAGGTCATGTCCACTTTTTTGTCATGTCCAGCTAACTTTGCCATGCCCTAATCTCCTTGCCTCAACCTCAGAACTCCAGGAGACTGTAGCAAGAGAATCACAAATTTAAACACAAACTGGGCAATTTAACCACTTAGAGAGTTGCTGTTTCTAAACTGAAAATAGCAGGGTGTGGTGGCACACACTTGGAATCCCAGCACTGGGGAGGCTGAGGCAGGAGGATCACTGTGAGTGTGAGGCCAGGTGGGCTACACAGTGAGTTCAAGGTCAGCCTGGACTAAACAGTAAGACCGTGTTTTAAAAAAAAATTAAAAAGTAAATTAAAAAAAATTAAGAGTTGGTGATAACTCAGTGGGAAACCCTAGGCTCAATCTCCAATATCAAAAAAAGAATGATAAAAGCTGAAGGAAACACACACCACATACAGGGCTGCTATCCCAGACGTCCTATCAAACCAACGAACTCTAGACAAATGAAGAGGCTAAAGCATTACATTGCTGTCTAGTCTGTTTTCTCCTAGTACAGCCTGGCACAGGGTCTGATCAGACAGTAACTCCACCTGTCCAGTCTCAATTTTCTTGAGCGCTAATCACAAGCATTTTGCGTAGGCTTTCAGTTTGAAGAATAAGCCATGTAAAGCGTTTCAGAGTATTTACAAAAACCCAGGTCACCGCAATGGTCAGCCGTTAGGATAGAATTTTCCTATTCGTCCTTACTTCGCTCTATCCAATCTAGTCCACGGGCGGTGGGCCCGCCCCTCTGGGCATGCGCACCAACATAATGGCCGCGCCCCTTCCTAAGGAAAATGCTTAGGGGAAGGTGAAGGGGGTGTGTGATTATGTGGTTAAAACAATATAAGGCGGGTCACATCATAGGTTTTTTTATTTGTTTTGATTTTTGAGGCTGGGTGTCGCTATGTGGTCCAGACTGGCCTTGAACTCACCATGCAGCCCACGCTGGCCTAGAACTCACAGCAGTCCTCCTGCCTCAGCCTCCCGAGTGCTGGGATTATAGGCGTGCACCACCACGCCCTGCCACAGTGTAGGCATAAAAACCTAGAAAGCTCCGCGTTCGACTGCGCAGAACAGCAAACCTGCGCAGCTCACAGCTCCGGAGAGCGGTGATTCTTCAAGCCCACCCCGTTTCTGCGCCAGAAGCCGGACGCAGCCACTCGCAGCTAGTTGGGGAGGGAGGTGGCCGCCTGGCCAACTTTTCTTTGGCGCACAGTCACAAGACCTCGCCTCCGCACCCCCTTCCGGGGGCCGAGTGGTTGAGGCCGGAAAGTAACGCCTCCGGTGATTGGCGGAGCGCGGCTGTCAGTCTTCTGGGGTCTCGCGCGCGGCCCGGCGAGGCCTGCAGAGCCGTCTCGAACCCTGCGGCGGGGGAAGATGGCGGTCGCGGTGAGAACTTTGCAGGAGCAGCTGGAAAAGGCCAAAGAGAGCCTGAAAAACGTGGATGAGAACATTCGCAAGCTCACCGGGCGGGATCCGAATGACGTGAGGTGAGGGCTGGAGAGGGCCCGCGGGCTCCGGGAGGCCGCCGTGGAGCCGGGCTGGCCGGGGGCGCGCAGGGC